GCGCAGGGCCGGGGCCAGTTCCTGGCTGGCCACTTTGCTGTTAGGGCCGCCTTCCCTCACTTCGGGGTCCCCGCCCAGAGGTGGCTTGATAAGCAGAAGCCGCCATGCCTGGTCTGGCGACTGGCCCGCGCCCCGCGCAGGCGCCCCCCAGTGGCCGGGAGCCGCCAGGCCGCTGTTGCCAGCAAGGGGCCGCCCTATGGGCGGAGCCTGTCCCAAGGGCACAGGCCGGCTGAGCCCCCACCACAGCTGGGGGCGCCCAGACGCTGACCCAGGCTGGAGGGACATGGGAACCTGGGGGCCCTGGCCAGGCAGGCGCCTTGCTCCTGGTACCCAGGGAAAAAGGCTGCTGGGGACTGCCCTGTGGGCTCTCGCCACACCCCAGGAGGGCGCACAGGGCCCAGAGCAGTGGAGAAGCCGCGTCCAGGTCTGAGTGCCCAATCGCTACTGCCCTGCGCTCTTCCCGCCAGTCATCTCCCCTTCACGTTCCCTGGCACTGGCTGGCCGAGTGCCGCTCTGCCAGGCCAGGGCAGGGCTTGCTGGGCACCCCCTTCTGTGGGCTTACCAGCCCCTCCCCTGCCCGTCCCTGGCCTTGTCCTGCAAACGGGTCATTTTGATTTCTGACGAAATCCTATCCAAGCATGGGCAGGCCAAGGAGCCCCGTCAGGCGGGGGACCATGGGTGTGACCGCCAGAACCTGGCCGCTGGCGGCTGGGCCTGGGGCCTGGGTTGCAGCACCCCCGTGTGGGGGCAGGCTCCCACCCAGAGGAGCCCTGGCCTCCAGCCTCCAATGCCACGCATCGTCCACCACAGTGACAGCGAAAACTGACCCATGTCCCCAGGGCCAGCGACAGCCTGGGGGTGCCAGGTGCGAGGACAGGTGCGCCAGGCCCACGCAGCCGGGCGCAGGGGCGGCAGGCAGGTTATGTGGGCTGGCGCGGCAGCAGCTGGCCGGGGCGCCACCGGCCTCCGGCAGCGCTGAGGCGGCGGAGGGCACCGAGGCCAGGGAGGGGAGGCCCTGCCGGCGCGGGGGCTCTGTTCCCTGCCCTACGGCTTTCAGAACATTCCAGACCTTCCACCTGCTTCTCTGAGCAGGAGCCCAAGAGGCAGCCGTGGCTGGGAGGTTCCCAGTTCTGGTCGCCATTTCCAGCCCCTGGGACGGCGCCTGGGCGCTGTGCCCATCTGGACTGCGGCCCTTCCCGCACTGACGGGGCAACCGTGCTGGGACTGGCGGCCGGCGCTGGCCCAGGATCACCGGTGCTGGGCGGCAGACAGCCGCAGGCGGGGGCACAGCAGAGGCTGAGGCTTGATGTGAGCACCCACGCGGCCGGAGGGCCCGCCAGTCCCCGGGCTTCCGACAGATGGCCAGTGCTGCAGACCCCTGCCCCCAGCCTGGGCAGCCCCAGGCCACGGGCGGGGTGCCATAGGCACCAGGTTGGGTTCTGCCACGCGGGGTGGGTGCGGCCGGTGGGCCCCAGGGGGGCCGAGCCGCATTCAGCCAGGACGGCTGCTGGCTGCCCGCCCGGGGCCCTGTATGCTTCCGCCACGCCCAGGTCTCCGGAGCCCGCGCCCGCCTCACCTCAGGCGGGAGTCGGCCCTTACCTGGCCCTTACCCGTCTGCCCCTTTTCAGGCCCTGGCCCTGTCCCATGGTGACGCACCTCCAGACTCTGGGAGTTCCCACACCTCATTCAGAGCAAGGTTCCCCTCAGGGTGGTTACCCTAGGAACAACACAATTCCCCAAAAGAACTGACACTCCCGCGGGGTCTTCAGGAGCACAGGAGACCTAGCTCTCGACACCTCGGGCCACCAAGCGCCCACACATCAGAGCAGCCAGTCACTGCCTGCACTGCCCCAAAGAATCTCGGGGTTTAGAGGAGCCCCCAGCACTGCTGACAACTCGAGGGGCACCTGAGGGCTGCCTGCCCCACTGTGGGGCTCCCTGTGGAGATGCCGGGGAGGTGGGAGGCTGCCCGGGGCGCCCAGCCGGGGCTGTTGGGTTGGGACGAGGGACAGCAGAGCAGGGCGGCTGTGGCGAGACCGGGCGGCAAGGCGGATGACGGTTGCTGGCCTGAAGTGCACCCGAAGAGGGCAGTGCCCCGGAGTCACCCACACCTAGGGACTCAGGGTGCCCGGTGGGACACGGCGCTGGCGGCAGCTGCGGAGGGCTCCAGGCACACAGGCCCCGGGGTCCGCAGCCTGCCAAGGCAGTATTGGCCCAACAGAGGGGCACTGCCTGGGACAGGCCCGGGGAGCCCCCCCCACCCGGGGCCACCCCTGGGCTCGGCTACTCCTTCCCGTCCACTGACCAGATGTGGGGAGCCCCAGCCGGGCCCGCAGACCCCCCAGCAGCGCCGGCCACTGCCGCTGGCCGAGCCCCGCACACGTGCAGATGAAGCAACCTGACCCCGACAAAGCCTTCAGGCCTCACCGTGAGCCCCGAGAGGCTCTGGGGTGAGAAGCAAAGGCAGGCCACGGGGTTTGTGTCCAGACTGCACTCCGGGCAGCGAGAGCCCCCAGAGCGGGCCGCGGTGTGTCTGACTGCCTAGAAGCGGCCGGCCCCTGGGCTCCACACCCGCCCGGGAGGTACCGGCACCCCTGACGGCGGGCTCCTGGGGTGCAGGCCGGAGGCCGCACTTACAGGAGAGAGGAGGTGGGACAGAGGAGGTGGGCAGGGGGCTTGGGGCCTCCTCACACCCCTCAGTGAGGTGTTTCCCTGTGCTGCACACCGGAAGCGCGAGTGTCTACACCAGGGAGGTGGGCACCTCAGGCCCCGGACAAGCTGCGGCCTGGCACTGGCCAGCATCCTTCAGGACACCGTGCCCTGCATGTGCGGGGGACCGCAGCCAGCGGGACCGCAGTCTGTGTGCCGTGAATACTGACGGAGGCTCCGGTCCCACAGCGGCTGGCAAATGTCACCCGAGTGCAGGTTCCAGCACACCGCGGCCTGGCCGGGCCCAGTGTGGGGCTCAGGGCGGTGGTGGGCCTCGGACTCCACTGCTGCCCCGAGCCTGGTCTGGAGCACAGGAAGGCCGGCAGCTGGACGGCCACGTACCGGCAGTGGCGTCCGCCCATTGGGGCTGCCCTCACTCTGGATGAGGCTCCCCGCCCCAATCTGGCCCCGTTGTGGAGAAGCCAGGGCCAGGAGCGTGGCCCTGGGGGCCTGGTAGGGCAGAAGCCCGATGGGCCCGGGAGCCGCAGGGGAGGCCACTCGCACCACCAGGCTGGCCCCTCCCCGGCGCTGGGCAGAGGCCCGGGCTCGCCACAGCAGGCTCAGACATGGGCCTCTCCTGTGTGCTGGAGTGAGACGGCGGGAGGGGGAGGGTCCGGGCAGTGCTGCCACGTGGCTGCCAGGCGGAGCCCCCAACAGCCCAGAGGGGGAACTCAGGAGACTCGACCTCAGGACACAGGCGCTGGGCCAGGTGCACCCCGCGCTCAGCCTGCTGGCCATCGGGCCGGAGGCCTCCACCCTGCTTGGGGAGGGCCCGGCCGGCAGCGCCTGTCCCTCGGCCCTGCCCTCCCTCCCCTCCGGGCGGCGGCCACTGGACACTGCAGCCACATACTTCCCTCCTTCAGGGGTGAGCAGCGCCCCCCCCCCCATTTAAAAGGGAGCAAATGAGCCATCTGAGGGTCTAATGGCAAACTAACAACTGAATACCACATTGGGGGCCTCCCAGGGCCAGGGGTCAGCCTCAGGCAGTCACCATTATGGCCTGAGCATGACCCCCCACCCCCCCGCCAGGGAGTCACCCCCAGGGCACAGCAGGCCTCTCCTGTCCCCTGCTGCTCCCTCAGCAGTGTATCTCAGTAGACCCGCCTGTCCTGCTCCCTATTTTGTCTCTTCTGGCCTGTACCCCAGCTCTTCTCTGCAAAAAGAAAATCTTAGCACTGGCCCCACATAGCTCCTGAGAACTAAGCAGCTGAGGAAACGGGCACGTGCATCAGGGGTGCGAGGAGGCCGAACCTCAACTCCATGGACCACTAAGAAGGCTCGTAGGGGGTACGGCCCCAGGCTGCAGCCCACCCTGCCTTGCTGGCTGGGGCGGGGGGGGGGGGGCGCGCGCCGAGCAGCTGGTGGGCACAGGTGGGACTGGAGACCGGGGACCCACAGGCTGTTGGGGGCAGGGCGGGCCTCACTGTTCTGTAATAAAGGGGTTCCAAGGCTGCAGCCATGAGGCTGCTCAGCTGCTCCCAGGGCACTGGCCGGCCCTGCCCCATCTCCCCAGCTGTCAAGGAGCAGCTCCTTGGGGCGAGCTCCCGGCGCGCTGCCCAGCCTTCACCCGGTGTCGAAAGGAGTTCCCCAGCCCAGCCCGGGTGGCAGTCTCGCCCTCTGCTGCCGGGCCGGGCAAGGCAGGGCCTCACGACGCTCAGGTCGCCACCCCACGGCGCCCACCCGGTCACCGCCAGGCCAGCGGCTCTGCCGCAGCACACGGGGGGCCGCCAGCCCCACCCGCCTCCTACGCCAGCCCTCGGCCGTGGACACTCACCTTGAAACGGGCACTCTCCAAGCTCCTCCCACTCCTGGGTGCCGCCGCCTGGCCTCCGGCCTGCTAGAGGCCAGCTTCGGGAGGCGGGGCGGTGCTCACCACGTGTCCCCACTGCCCGGGCCGGCACCCTGCCTGGCGACAGCCACTTCCGCGGCGAGCAGGTGATGTCTGCCGGGTCTTTCGTGCTGAGCAAGGACCCGGCAGCCAGAGGCACGCACCCGGGGACGGCTGCCCCAGTGCCAGGGGTGCAGCAGAGGCCGCCCCTACCCTGCGGGTCGCCGTGGGTGGGGAGGAAAGCTGAGGCCTCATCTGCATCCCGGGGAAAGGCCACACTCCATGAGGAAGAGCCCCCCCGCTGCCGACCGCCGCCTCAGGGGGCAGGTGCAGGGCTCCGGTGAGGCGCCGGCCCGCCTGCAGGGCGACTGGCCGCTCCTGGCAACGGGTGGGGAGCACGTCCCTCTAGCCACTGCCTTCACCGAGTCTTAAATACAGCAGCAGGAGACGAGCACGATTACTGAGAAAGAGTGAACTTTAATTGACTTGTGAATCTACTTAGAAAAACACACACAAGCAATGTCCACGACTATAAATGTAAACCTTTTGCACTAAAAAAAAACACAAACACAAAACCACAGGCATGAACTGTAAACCTGTTTCTTCACCAACTAAGCTCAAGGTTAATCCTTAGTAGCGATTCGAAACCCTCCTCCTCCTCCTCGGCAGCTCCGGTTAGCACCAACGGCCCCGCGGAGGGCCCGGGCGGCCCCCGCGGCGGCGCCGGAGCCGCGGGCACTGCCCACACGCAGCCCACTCGCACACCACGCACACGGGGCCCCGCCGGGGCGATGGAAAGACGACAGCGGGCGCAGGTCTCACGCTTTAATGTAGTGCACTGGAGGGGCAGGCCGCGCCCGCGCCCGGGTCATGATCAGGAGATGCGGACGCTGCTGCCTAACTGTTACTCTACACGTGTCCATCCGTGTTCAGGAAACACTCGAGACTGCTACGTAATTTACACCGTAATTACTGGGTTACAGCTTTAGCTCATTGGCAATTTTGGAAGCGATATTTTTGAAAGCTATGGATGTCCCCGATATCCGCTTAAACCGGACCCCGTTCAGAGACAGTCTTGGCAGCTTGCACACCTCCATCTCCCACTGCACCAGGCTGTCCGCGTGCCCGTCGCCGTGGACACAGAAGAGCAGGAAGCGCTCCCGCTGCTCGTAGTCGCAGCTGTTGGCGTCCAGCACCTTGCGGATCTCCCGCATCATGTCGCTGGGGTCCATGGAGCTCGTGGTTTTCATGCTCCAGGTGAAGCGCAGGGACCGGGGCTTCGCCTCTTTGTGCTCGTCCTTCTGCTCCGCAGAGACGCTGCGACTGAAAGGCACAGCGCAGGTCACTGCCGGTGGCCAGGGGCCCCGGGCCACCCGCCCCGCGTCCCTTCTCCCAGTCGCATGCCTCTACCCCTTTCCCCCCCGACACACCCACCCTGCAAAAAGCCCACTGGGCTGGAAAACGCTCCCCGGCCACCAGGCTGCTCACTAAATTGGCAGGACAGTTTGTTCGAGCGCAGCGCCCCCTGCAGGCCGACCACGGGCCAGGCAGGTGGCCCTTCGGCTGCTGCTTCTCTACCAAAGGGCACCGTGACAGTCATGCAGGCCACAAGCAAGGACTCCACAGACATGCGCTCCCCCCCGAAAGGGCCCCAGGTGCTGGGCATACATGGGCAGAGGACGGACAGGCCTTTCTCTTGGTCGCCTGCACCAGCTCAGTGCTTTTCCTGTGCTCTATCTTGTCATTTACACTTCCAGTTCCGGTTTCAAAAAAAGGAAACTGTGGGGCCTCTGGGAGGCCCAGGGGTCAGCCTCATGCCATCCAGCTGTCCCAGCCATTGTGGCCCAAGTGTGACTCCCAACAGGGAGGGACCCACAGGGCGCAGCAGACCTCTCCTGTCCTCCACTGCTCCTCTCAGCAGAGGATCCACCCCTTCTGCTCCCCACTCTGCCTCTGGAGTCCACTCACCCCTGTACCCTAGTTCTTCTGTGCATAAAAATCTTAAAAAAAAAAAAAAAAAGCCAGTCACATGACATTATCTTATCTGAAACAGAAACCCCCGAGGCACAACTGCTGCAGAGGCAGTGCATGTGAGGCCTCCCTGAGGCTGAGGGGGCAGCCTGACGGGCTCCCTGGGGCATACTGCCACTCCACCTAGTCCTTCTTGCCCAAAGTCAGTGTTTACAGTTCCGCACGAGTCTGGCGCGGCACCCATCTGGCGGACACGCCTGAGCTCCGAGAGCTGGAGCGTCCGCACGCAGATGCGCTTGCTCCCGCACTGACCACTGCGGCGGGCGGCCACCCCGCACACAGCTCTCCCACGGCCACGCCGCTAGGGTACTGACTCTCACCCGCCCACACTGGCCAAGCGCATCGAGCACTGCCAAAACCAGGGAAGCTCAAACCAAGCTGAGCTGGGGAGCGGCAGCAGCGCAGGAGAGACGCGGGCGGGGTCTCCCTTGGAGCAGGGGCAGAGTTTCTGGGGGTCCAGAGAGGAGAGCACTGGCAACAAAGGCAGGCGCTACGAGGCCGAGGAGGTGCTGTGGGCATGGCCCCGCGGGCAGACGGGCTGCGCTGGGCCCAGGGCACCTGCGACGGCCTCGGCCCTCTGCCCTTGGCCCAGTGTGCTCATGCTCCCAACGAGAGGTGGGAGGTGGGGGGACTGTGCTGGGGAAACGAGGTGCCGCCTGGCCTCCGCCCAATACCCAACCCAGGGCAGCTGAAGCCACACAGGCCTCGTGTGACCGCGGCGGGCCAGGTCTTCTGAGGAAGCGTGCGGCCAGAGCTGAGCATTAGGAGCACTCTGTGGGGCAGCCTGGCGGTGGCGACCACCGAAAGCTGAGAGTGGAGCGGGCCCAGGGCCGCGGGGAACAGCGCCAGGCCCCCGGGGCGGCTCTCAAAGCCTGACCCGCAGCTGACCACACGTGCCTCATTCTGAAAGTCACCTCTAACTTGAAATACGAACATTCTACTCAGTGTTCTTCTCTTCCCTAGGACGAGGACAGTGCTGGGGCCACCAGCCGTTGGAGGGGTGCTCTCCCCAGCGCCCTGACCTCATCTTGGGTACCCCCCTCCCGTCTTTCCACGGCTGTAGCCACAGCGCCACCACGTGGCCACGCGGCGCAGTGCAGCAGTGGGGGCCTCACCACAACCAACGCCCAGGACAGTGAAAGTAAAAACGCCCCTCACCTTGAGCCCTCATATCGCCCGTTCCTCTCATATTCAGTTGGAAGTCTCAACGTACAGAAGGCAGAGCGGAGCAGAGGGAGAGAGAAAAGAAATCTTACTCAGTCACGCGCACCCGGCACACGCCAGGGCAGGCTCGGCGCCGCCCCCCGCGCCCCCGCCCGCCCCCGGGGCTGCGAAGGGAAAGGAAGCGAATCCTGCCAGCTGTAGCGGAGACCCGCTGACACTTCCGGTGCAAAAGGACAAACAATTAAAAAATAACCACCGCAAGCAATCCTCACTGGGAGGGAAACACCGCGTTCCCTGCTGCTCCGACCTGCGGCCCGGGCGGGGCGGGCACGCGCGTGCAGCCCGGGGGTGTTAGCTGCGGTCTCAGCTGTGACCGTCATCAGGAAATACTAATGCAGCAGTAACAGATTTAGTACAGGCCACCTGCGGGTGGGGAGAGCGGCTCTAAATTAGGGCGCTACCTACTCTTAGGCTTCAGCTCTCCAAGCGCAGCGCATTTCTGCCCTGTGCCGGCGCCTGCATCTTAGTTTCCCCCAAAATGGCCAGAATGAACGAGGCTGCCCAGCACCACAACATCCGATCGCTCCCCGTATCTGACACCGTCCGCAGCCTCAGTCCTCCAGGCAGCGACGACACAGCCAACACTTACCTGTTGCCTGCGGCGGCTCGTTTAGTGCTGCGAGTCACCGAGCAGCGCCCCGCACGCAGCAGCACGCGCCAGTGCTGTTAGTAGCGGGCAGGCACCCGCAGCACTGCCAGGGGAGGGCTCAGAGCATGCGCGGGCCTGGGGGCGCCAGCCCTTTAAAAGCACCTGACAGGGTTATTAATCTCTGTCTTTCCAGTTTCCTTCGATAGGATTAAGTATTTAGTTCTCAGCAGAAAGTTTAGTTTTTAAGGGAAAAAAAAAGGGGGCGGGGCTACAAAGCCAAACCTGATGTTAATTGCAGGGGCCATTTGGGGATGAGGATTGAAAACAATGCGCATATAATAATCCTACCTTTTGATAAACCTGAATGACATGTTTCTAAAAGAAATTAAGCCAAAAAAAAAAAATTAACAAAAATGATTTGCACAAATCAAGGAGAAAACCAGTCACTCTAGAGGGCAATAAACACTGCCTCTTTCTGTCCAAGGAATAGCAAGGAAGTGATTTAAAATGCAGAAATCATTACAGATAATTATCTGATCTTTTAACTAGAAATCAATATTTTAATTACAAATGTAAAAAAGCAGTAACTGTTAACTTAATTGCATTTAAAATAAAAATAGCATCTTGTATAAAGAAGTCATCTGTCAGGTACTGAACTACTACTTCTCAAATTTCCTGTACAACACTAACGAACAAAAATCTCACCTGCTTTTATTAGTATCTAGCCATCAAGGGAATCTTCTATTTCAGAAAGATGATTTAAGTATTAACAGGATGCGTGTTTCAGTTAATGATGGAATGTGTGAAATAATTTACATTTTAAGAAAAAAGTTGTTAGGGATTAGATGAAGTAGACTTCCAGAGTTTTAGATCTCGCAACGAATGCAGATTACATGACAAGCTCACAGGAGGGGGCCGGGGCCGGCTGTTCGGAAGAGCCGGACGTTGGGCTGCCGAGCGTGGCAAGTGCGCGTGCCTGCTCGGACCCGGGGTCTCGGGCCTGGGGCTGGCTGAGGCGCCCGTGTGGGTCAGCGGAGTAACTGGCCTGTGTGTTTCCTAGTTTGGCAGAACTCTGGCCTTGCTTCAGAGCCACTCAGCAACTGCCAACCCTTCCAGATCAGGTCAGAAGCAGAGTCACACACAGCAGAGACCAACACGTGGAAACATTTGTAGATCATTAAACCCTACACAATCCACGGCAGTATTATTCCAAAGATGATTCTAGCTGAGAATAGTTTTTCTGAATTTTCTACCGAGAAGAGCCATGGAAACTGGCCGACTCCCAGTCTGCTCTCTTCCACCCCCCGAGGAGTCCCGAGGCTGGAGCGCGGGGCGGTGCAGGACCGAGCCCGTGGGCAAGCTAGAGGACACGGGGCACCTGCTCCCGTGGCGGCAGCCCGGCCAGGTCGCAGGCGGGAAATGCCTCGACCCTCCCACGAGCAACCAGGGCCCAAGGCCACAGGCAGCCCGCGAGGCAGGAGGGCACCCGAGCCCTCCAGGCACTGCGTCTGTGGGCCCAGCGCTGTCAGGGCACACGTGACGCGAGCCAGGGCAGGGCCTGCCTGTAAGAAGTGACTACAACTGAAACTCATGCGCAGACGGGAGCCGCTGCCTGTAGCTTTCATCCTTCTGCAACTATCTGAGGGCAGAAGTTAAAGGGAGATGAGTGACCCCGACTTCAATTTCAGGGCATGCACTGAAGGGACTCAGGAAACTGGCAGGAAGGACTCCTGCCCGCTGCTGGGCTCAGCGCGCTTTGCTTAATAGCCGCAGGAACCCTGGATCTCTAATTTCTCCGGTAAAACTGGGAGGACGCTTGCTACGTAGGGCAGAGAGTAACAGAGAGGTGAGAAGGCCGCGTGTGGGAGCCCACACACCTCTATGACCTCCACCGCCGCCTCAGCAGAGCCGACGGGACTAGATGTGACCAAGTGAGAGAACAGAGGCCAGCAGCCAGTTCAAGGACTTTAATGACCTGTGGGTCTTTTATTAAAGATCCCAGCACAGGCTCAAGCGAAGGGCATGGGCCTTGCCATCCTCTTACTGGAGCTGAGGCGGCCTGGCCGCGCGCTCACATGCCCCGTGCTGGGGCCCAGAGAGCCAACCACTGCTGTGGAGCTGGTGGCAAGGGCCTGCGGGCAAAGGGATCCGGCTGCTTCCTCCTGCGCAAGTTTCAGAGGCAGGAGGCCTGGCAAGGTCGTGGGGTGACTCTGAAAGGAAGGGAAGAATCCTGAGGGCCACCAGACTGGTCATGAATGGGGGGGAGCGGGGGATATGCCTCAACCTAGCAAGGCACTGTGACAGCCTGGGCTGAGAAGAGAGCAAAAGGGTAGGTGGGGGTCTGCTGACTCCTCTGGCCTCTGGCTGATGCCAGCGGGCAGCAGAGTCCTCCCAACCTGTGACTCGATGTCCTAACAAGCAGCAGATTGTCTGGTGAAGAGACCGTTTCCTGCGGCTCTTCTATGTTGTACATGACTGACTCAAATACAGCACAACTAAGGAGACTGGGAGTGCTGTCTCCCTACAGGTCAAACAGGAAATGGCAGGACGCGGAGGGGTCGGTTGGCTGATGGGCCCAGGGGAGGCAGAGAACCGGGGACATGACATCTGCGCACTCCGAGACCAGGCCGGGGAGCAGGCGGGCTGCAGGAGACCCCGGGCGGGCGGACCCGGAGGCTCGGCTCTAGCGCACCCCCTGGGGTCTTTATACCGTGGGGCGCCCAGGAGAACGATTTGCTACAATGCAAAGTGGGACCTTTTTCTTTTTTCTCTTTTAGCAGCCAAAATTTCTAGGTTTTTGCAGCCTCCGGTCTAGGTCAGAGAGGACTCCAGGAGTCCTTCCGAACCCTCCCCGGCCCAACATGATGCTGGGCACCTGAGTGACTGCACAGGGGTGTTAACTCTGAGCAGAAAGCAGGGACTTTTATCTCCAAAACTACCCATAACCCTCAGAAAGTTCTTTTCCTTAGTGTAAGTCACTGTGCCCAGAAGAAAGAACACTTCCCAGACCTGCCTCCAAGCGTGCTCCTCAGAGACTGCAGCTCCAGGGCGGGCGGCATCTGTCCCCCCTGGGCCAGCGCCTCGACACTCGGTGTCTGCCCTGGCGAGCCCAGCACGGCCCACACCGGCCATGGTTGCTGCTGAACTGCACCGAGTGTGACAAGGGTGAGCCGCTGGCTCCAAGGACCCTCCTGAACGTTACACGGCTCCCGGGGCTGTGAGACCGCGCTCTAACGCCTGGTCTTCAAGAGTGAAGGTGCCAGTCAGCGCCACAGCCAGAAACGAGAGCGGAGTCAGGCCGCGGTGTTGCACGAGGCAGGAAAGGGCTCCTCTGGCTCACGTTGGCTCCAAGCCCCAGCCCCGCCGGGAACTTACCTCCTCGTGAGTTTTGAAGTTAATTTACTAAAAAGGTTCGTGGAGCCTCGGCTTCGCGTCTGGGACAGTGGCGTGGCTTCGTGGGACAGGCTGGGCGAGGCGGGCGGGCCGTTGTACGTGGCGGTCCGCCGCTCCCGAGGCTGGCCGTGGAAGGTGCTGCGGCTGGCAGTGCCTCGCGGGAAGCGGATCCGGTCTGGGGTGGCGGCGCTGCTAATACTGTGTGTTGAAGCAACGGGGGTTCTCTGGTCAGGAGCAGCACTGTGGGGCAGGAAAGATCAGCGTCTCACAGCCTTCTTCACAAAAGCCGGCCTCGTGGCAAACACAGCAAAAACCACGACCACGGTATCCCTTTCATACAGTGGCGCAGTCAGTGACACTGACCCAGGTCCGAGGGGCATTTTACAGGACGCAGGAGTGAAAGGGAGTGGGGAAGGCGTCCAAAGGGCCAACGCACGATGGAAAAGCCCGACGGGGAGAGATGAAAGCAGGAAAGACGGGGGCGAGGAGCGGCGGGACAAGCGACTTCGGCCTCCCCTCTGCTCCCTCCCAAGTCGCGCACGGGGAGGCCGCGCGGCTCAGAAGCCCCAGTGCACGGTGCTGTGAAATGCCGGCAGCGACCGGGAGGGGCCGGCTGGACTTTTCACACCCAGAGTCCTCAGACAGAGACATACAGGTGGCCCAGGACACCACACAACAGGAGGGCTGACTGAAGCTGCCACAGGAGGGCCTGAGGACAGGTTAACAGTGCGGGCGGGCGACGAGGCCCCAGCACACGGCAGGCGGCGGCGGCTGCGCGTCGCAGGAACCTGTGTGTCTTAGGCGGCCTCGAAGTTATTTCCTTCACCATCTAGTGGAGGCAATGCCATCGTGGGGCCCAGGCCAGCTCGGACATCAGCCGTGATGTCTCCGCCGACAGGTGGCAAAGGAGGCACAAACCGAGGCAGGCGAGCTGCGTGAGCGAGCACGTGTGCCGGCTAGGAGGCGGCGGGGGCAGGCAATGGACTGCGCCCGCAGGGCACGCAGCGACGGAGGAACCCACCCCCTTCCCTGCCATCTCAGCGTGTCCAAGGGCAAAGTCTCCAACTCGTGATGACTGTGGAGCAACCACTAAATGCAGCTGCTTTACTGCCCACCAACAATTTGAGCAGCTTATTACATTTGGAGCAAAGGCTGCCTCACACATTCAAGTACTGGCCTACATGGGAGGGACACTCCTTTCTGAGCCCTGGGGAATAAAGCCTCCCCTAGGAGAGCGACTGCCCTGTCAGCGGCGACGCGGGTGCCCCACACGAGCTGGGAGACCACAACACAGGACTCCAGCTCTTGCCACGCAGAGGACACTCACTCTATTAGTGACCCTAAGGGGTCAACAGGGTCCCAGCAGATCCACTTGGGACAGGTGGGGGAGGGCCGAGAGAGCTGACCCGAGGCGTCTCCACCCGACCACGCCACTTCACTCCAGCTCGGCCAAGGCACCTTGCAATTCCAGGAGCAGATTCGCTCTGCGCCTTGCTCAGAGCAGCTGGAGAGCATGGGGAGTGGGGAAGAATATGGCTTCACTGTCATACAGATCCCATCAGTCACATCACTCCCAAGTTGGAATCCTGCACCAACACTCGCGCGTGGGAGAAGAAAGGCCGACACAGACAACGGAAAGGAAAACCCGTATTCTTTCCCCAGAAGTGAGCACAGATCCAGGCTCTCGGAGCGCACTGCCATCTCAAGGTGTAAGGAGTAAGACGCAGTGTATGAGGAGAAGCCACCATCTGCCTAGATGTCACCTGTGTGCAGGTAAGGCTGGTGCCTCTAACTCAAGACCCAAGCACCACCCTGGAAGGGGAGAAGCTGACCCACGCAGGGCCCCCGAAGGAGGCCTCGGATCACTAGGGTGGCCGTCAAGCCGCCTATCATTTCCCGCTGTTTCTCCAGTCCTCTGAGACAGCAGGGCCCACACGGCACTGAGCGCTCGGGCCCAGCTTGGGCAAGATGCCGCGGCTCTGCCGACAGAACAAGCCGCGTGCGAGAGTCCCTGGCTGACAGGACGAGGAGGCCCAGTCAGGGAAGGCGCCTGCTGGCAGCAAAGGGTCCATAAAAGGCCCTCGGAGGTGCCCAGAAGGATGAGGCAAGCACAGCACTCTTGCACAAGCGGCAGCAGGCCTCGCATAACCAGCTCTTTAGGGCCTGTGGAGACATGCACATTCTAAAGCTCAAAAGGAATCTGACAGAAGAGTGCAAAAATGAGAAAAATCTGTGAAAAGAAGGTCCAAAACGGTTTTCTAATCCCATAAACACAAATACTTAGGAAGCCTAATTCTCCATTAACCTCTTCTATCAAATCACTGTGAACTATTAGAAACCTGACAGGCAAAAATGTAGCGCTGGTAAATAAAAACATGCAAGGATCAACTGCTGTTAGTCGTCAGTACACCAAATGTTATTTGGAAACCGTCTAAGCCCACTTACTGTGCACAAATCCTTAACAGCTTTTAATTATAAGGAAAAAGACACAGGAGTCAGGGAAGAGGGCCCTGGAGTGTATATAATACTTCTAAGACGTACTCAATAATCAACATCAGCTTTTAAAACAAGTTGAAACTTTCCTGTCCATTCAAACCCCAGGGAGCTGCGTAAGAGGAGAATAACCCAACTCGGGGGCGGGAGAGCCGAGACCTCTTGCTCAGAGTCCCTAAGTGACCAAACGTCGCACTCGGCCATGGAGCTCTGGGGCAGCAGCTGTGTCCCAGTTTCACAAAGTGACTGTCAGAGAAAAGGAGAGAGACTGCAGCGCCAGACCTGGGGCGCGACGGGCACACGGTGCCCCCTGCTCCACACGGCTGCGCCCACAGACCCTGCTGGGGACCCACTCGCCGGGCCCTGTCACTCTGGACTCAGGTCACCTGCGACTCTTCCAGAAGGAAAGCCACGCCAGCCTGGGCCCGCGCTACTGCTCTCCCCAGCAGCTTTTTCCTCCCTCCCCAAAGTGCCGTGACCGCTGCCGCTCATGGACCTATTTCACCCCACTTTTCTGATTCTACCTATTCCTGACTGTCGAAGTCCAAAAAAGATGGCTGTGTGTGGGGCGACACGCTACCCTATCAGTTTGTCAAGTCCTGCGTACCCCATGCACGTCTCTCCAGCAGGTGAAAACCCCTCAGAAGATCACCCCTCGCCCCCCTGGATTCTGCACGGAGACCCTTCTGGCAGTGGAGCCTGTCACCCTTGGCCTCTGGCCCCAGGTAGACTGCCGGGCTGTGCCCATCCCCCACAGCCTCAGCCCTCTTTTGGTCTTTGTTTGGGCCACTCATGGCACAAGACCGCTGCACCCCCTGGCCACCACCCTGCAGCTTGGGCACAGCTGAGCCCCGAAGGCCCCTGCCTCACGCAGCCCTGCCCGCAGCAGGCAGCAGGCCCGGTGCTGCCGGGTGCGGCGTCTCGCACTCGGCTCCCACTGCACTAAGATTGGCATTTAGATGAAACTTACCGGAAGAGAGTGCTTGCCCTTGCTAGGTAAACTTGTTTATAAAAATGAAGAAATACGTAATGGGCTTTCGTTCCCCTTGGGAAAACCAAACCGTCCTACCATCAGGTAGAGCGCCCCACCTGTTCTCCTTGCCGTTCTGGAGCACGGGGTGCCTGTCGGCGGGGGTCCTCTCGCTGCAGACGTAGGTGTTCCTTCGCGTCATGCCGCCGGCCGCAGCACTACTCTGCTCCAACGTAAAAAGGAGTTTGTCAAGCTAGTCAGCCTAACGAGGATAAACCGCATTTCCAGTATCAACAGCACTGATCAAGAGGCCGGAAACGGGAGAAGCAGCGACGTCTGCTCCCCACTGGCAAGTGGCCACTCGCAGGAGCTGGAGGGTCCATTGAGCAGTGACTCGTGGGCCCCTACACCGCAGAAGGCGGCCGTCCGCAGCTTCATAAGCTAGTATTTGCAAAACGGAAAATCAAAAAGCAAGGGCTATAAATAAATTCAATCCTCAGGAAGCCCGTGGCTGCGGGGGAGCACAGACCCCTTGGCGGGGCCTTCGGGGGGGCCCTCGCCTTGGAGGAAGCATCTCTCAAGATGGTTCATCCTCCACAGATTCTTTCTACAGGAACCTCAGGAGCGCAATGAGCAGTGAGCACTGCCAGGTCAGGACACATTCCAGCCCCAGGAAGCCCCTGACCTCAATCTAGCAAGCGCAACTTACTGGGGAAGGGAAGGGATTAAGAGTTGGACTTGACAATTTTAGGCAATTACCAGCTTTTCTAACCATGAAGTCTGGCTGCTACATGGAGAGCACTTGGCACTGCACCCTGCCTGCTGGCAGCCAGCGCCCTGGGGGGGCATGGGGGGGTGCCTTGGGCTCTGTGTACCCCACCACTGTGCTGCCCTCACTGGGTCCCACGTACGTCCTGCCCAGGCCTCTCCAGCTCAGTGACCCAACCTGGAGCTCAGCAGGTGTTTGTGGAAGCCTAGAAACAGCCCTTGACGACGGGGTCTCGGGGACTGAGACGCCACAAGAAAACCCTTCAGCTAGGGAGGGCATTCGAGGCTGAGACAGCAGGACAAAGGCCGAGGACCCCCCCCCCCCGGGGGCTCAAGCGCCCTTACGCCAGGGACAGCAGAGCTCTTCTTGCGCTCAGGAATATCGGCCTTGTTGGGGTTGCCTGCGTTCCCCAGCAGGGGGCTGGCGGGGGCCGCGCCCTTCCCCGCCGCAGCACCACCGCTGGGCTTCCGGGAGGGGGCGCCGTCTTCCCGGAGGTCGCCGTCCGCAGTGCTGGTCTGGCTCCTCTTGGGATACGCCGCCACCGAAGGGATCGCTGGTCCAGCTAAAATAAAGTTCAGTTTGCAGGGTCAGAACGCGACTTCACATTTGATTCTATGGAAGTAACACATTTTATAAATGCCCTGAGACGGCTATTCACCTAAAAGAAGTCACAGTGAAACCCAAAGACCTTCCCACATCACTGCATTCCGCACTGCCACTTGCCCTGGCAGCCTGCAGGGCCGCTGAGACCAGGCCACACAGCTGGCCTCTGGCCGCCCCTCCGGCACGGCTGTCGCAGGAACTCAAACCAGCGCGAGCACAGGCTCCCGGAAGCGCCAACTGCTCCCTGCGTGAGCGGCTCAGACGCTTGCCTGTGCGGGAGGCACCACCCCCTCTGGCAACAGCGCAGCGCAGGCTCACGGGGTTTCCTGAGAGCTTCGGCGTGGTCGCCTCTGGGCAGGCCCCGGAGCAGGCGGGGAGAGGGGGCACACGCAAGGGAGACGCGCTCCCCAGGCGAGGGGTGGGAGCAAGGCGAGCAGGCTCCAGGGGGCAATGCACCCGTGCTGGGCAGCTGCCAGGAGACAGCGACTGCAGCCGGGGTTCGCCGGCAGCAAACAGTGCTGGGAAGGAGCCCGGAAGCTGTCGGGGTGAGCCAGAGAATGGCCCCGGGCCCATTTACTCTGCACCAGAAGAGACTTTGCAGTTCAGGTCTATTTAAAACAAAAGTCGCTTTTGGGGCAAAAATGTGGATGCTACATCTCTGAAACCGAATTAGAAGAAAAACAGGGTTTGTTTTATTTATGGGAGAACAATGCCGCGCTCAGCTCTGTCATATAACATGTGAAACGAATAACTGGCTGAGTGCTGGGTGCCGAGATGAGGGGTTCAGGGCCGGTACTGCCCACCTCTCCTGGACACCCTCCTCCCGTCAGGAGCAGAGTCAGGATCCCGTCCAGGTGCTCAGGGACACCCAAGGACAGGACCCCTACGCCCACTCCCTGCCAGCAGCAGCAAAAGCGCCGCTTCAGCCCAAACTACACAGATGCCGCACCAGCAGGGGAGGAATGGAAGCTGGCCAAGGGCCCACTTCATGCGTGAAATCAAAGCCGACTGCCCTGTGCGGGTCTAAGCACCAAACTTCAAGGACGGAAGGAGGCGACAGCAGCCAGAGGAGAGGTGGGTGTCCCAGAGAAGAGGAAACGTGCCTGGAAACGTGAGCACCTGGCCCAACGACCTGGTTCCAGAGCCCCAGAATGCTGGAAGTTAAGGGTAGTGTCTGCACGTGGACAGTCGGGGGCAAAGAAACAGACACGCGGGCGTCCCTTGACTCCTACAGGGCTGTCTGAAGGCAGAGTGACCATCAGGCCTGGCAAGCAAGCCCTTCGGGCTCCAACGCCACAGGCGAGCCCCTGGCTGCCGAGTATGTTAAGAGTGATGGTGTCTGGATACACCGACAGCCCACGTGTGGCCAAGAACCCCAGGTCCAGGGGTTTAAATGAACATGTTTGTCAGAATTAAAGAGAACTGCCGCCCCCGAGCCTGAGGCTCCTTCCCAGACGCAGACTCCACTCCACTCCAGACTAACACCTCCATCTCAGACGGCCCAAGGCCCAGCTGGCAGGGCTGTGCCGGGGAAAAAATCTGATTCGGGAGGAAGCAGGGACACAGCACCAGGGTCCCCAAGGGTGAGGACAAGGTTTCTACTCAGCTAGGCCTTACCCGACAAAGCCGTGGGCGGGGCCCACGAGGGCCCGCAGGACGGCTGTGAAGGAACTCCAAGCTGCCTTCCAGCTACTGGCCAGGCCTCCCGCATCCAAAGTAAGGGGGTGCTCCACAAGATGAGGAGCCTCTTGGGGGAGGGGAATCCCCAGGAGCACTCGCAGGCGTGGCCTCCAACTCACCGTGGTCACTGTACCGCCTCTGCTTTTGGCTTGAGGAAACGCTTCTCTGCACTTTGTGGTGAGGAGACTGGCCAGTGCTGTTGCTGAGGTCACTGCTTGGCCTAACCTTAGCGAGTGAGAGATTGCTGCTAGAACTGGAATCACTAGCATCCAGCTAAGGGAAAATGAGAAAAACAGAGCAAACCACAACACGGACCCAAATGGTTTATCAGGAAACTAAACTCACTACACATACACCTCTCTCAATAGTTCACTTAGAGAGGAGAATCTGTGTACAAAAATGAGAAACTCAGGGCCCTCCCTGGCGGTGAGGGAGTTGAAGACACAGCACTATCTATGGGTACCCCTGCAGCCTGAGTGTGATCCCGCTAGGGAGTGACCCTCAGGGCGCAGCAGACCTCTCCTGCTCCCCTCAGCAATGGATTTCTGTGGATCTGTCTCTGGTGAATCCTCTCAACCCTGCACCTCTGGCCTGGTCCCAGTTCTTCTGTGCATAAATAAAAAAATCTTGAAAAACAGAGATTAAAATATTTTTTCTGACTTCTGGAAAAAGTCACAAATAGGTTCTAATGCTCTTCTTTAAGGACCTTTCTTTTTTGAGCTGAGGTAACCTGAGGTATACAAGTTTCAGGGCTATTTACTCCCATCTGATGTTGTCAATTCTCAGCCATTCTAGCCAGGGAATGGTGAAGGCCTGCCCTGTCCTGTAACGACGCCCACCAGGAGGCAATCGCCTTCAAGCAGTAGCTCCTCATGGTCGTGGGAGTTAGACATGCTGTGTCAGTGAATTCAAACAATAATGCTGAATGTTGTAGATATCAATAAAGACTAAGAGTGTGGCTTACATAAATTAATACTTTACAGAAAGGGTATTTTGGCTTTTTCTCTCCAACTACTCTTACCTCTGATGATTTTCTCCCCAACAACAAGTATGTAGCTGTGATCTCATCATATTTCATTTTACTAAGAGATTCTTGAATTTCTTCTTGTGAATATCCCATTCCCACCATAATATCTAAAAGAAAGGCATAACATATTTGATGCATTTTTGCTCAGGTAAGAAACCACTGTTACAGGGTAAAACAGTTTCCTTTATTTGACCCAAAAGAAGACAGATTTTCTAAGAACAGCTTGAATGCTGCCACAGCTGGTAACCCCAGATCCGCCCCGCTACACGTGACGAAATGGTGACTCACACAACTGACATGCATCCGCCCCCCGCATGTCCACAGGAGTCAGGACAGACACTTCCTCCCCTGCACAGAAGCAGGCCGCACAGTGATTACCTATTCTTTTCTGGTCTGAGATGTCTAGTTCTGGCTCCACGAACGGTCTCAGCTCATCTTCCTCATGGCCTGCATTGACCCACCTGTCCTCCATGATTTGCTGAAAGGTAAGCTGTCATTAGTCGTGTGAAGTAAAAGGTTCCATAACCAGAACAGTCAGCAAAATTTATTTTCACGTTTTTCATTACAGCTCAGAGTGTAACTATAAAAAGCCCAAAAACAGTAGCCATATGGCACACAAACCAAACAAGTTCTAAGAACACTTTAAAGACCCTCCAAGTCGCTACTCTCATCTAGGCAATTACCTCTAGTGTGCCTCGTTTTATTGGGTTTAGCACCAGGAAACGTTTGAGAAGGTTTTCACAGTCTGTGGACATGTAGAAAGGGATTCGGTATTTCCCTCTTAACACCCTCTCTCTCAGTTCCTTTGGGCAGGTAGAGAGGAAAGAAAAAAGCGAGTGAACTTTTAGACTCCAGCACCACAAAATCCCCGTGAAACCTTTCATGCTGATGTAACATTAAAATCTTAACCCCTATCATCTCATAAAATCCTCTGACTTTTCTGAAAGACATGACCACAAAGGCTTCTCATACCTTTAGGTTCTGACCATCGAAGGGGAGAGACCCGCTGACCAGGGTGTAAAGAATGACCCCGAGGCTCCACACGTCCACTTCCGGCCCGTCGTACTTCTTGCCCTGGAAGAGCTCGGGGGCCGCGTACGGAGGACTGCCACAAAACGTGTCCAGTTTACTGCCAACAGTAAATTCATTGCTAAAACCAAAGTCAGCTATTTTAATGTTCATATCAGCATCTAACAATAGATTTTCAGCCTAGAGGGAAAACATCAAAACAAAAATGAAATTTAACCAAAATATAATTAGAACTGTCACAAAAATCAGGCATTTTATAAGCTTTTATAATGATATGGTCAACAAATCCTAATGAATCTTGGAAAAAATAAAAAAAACAGATAGATTGCAATGTCTACTTTTATGCTAACAACCAATAACACACAAGATTAATTCTAGCACTGACATGCTCCAGTGAGAAATCTTTAAATAGCTTTTTCAATTAAAAGCCAACGGGGTGGGGGGCCTCTCTGGGGCACAGGGGTTAAGTCTCAGCACTATGAATCTGTTGCCAGCCCCTGCGGGCTGAGTGTGCCCCCAGCCAGGGAGTGACCACAGGGTGCAACAGACCCCGCCTGTCCCCCTGCTGCTCCTCTTGGCAGGGGGTTTTGTCGATCTGCCTGTTCTGCTCCCCACTCTGTCTCTGGGGAGTCCTCTCACCATACTCTGCCCTCTGCACCCAAGGTCTGGTATATATAAAATAAACATAAAAAAAAAGTAACAGGGGCTTTAAAAACCAAACCACCCCTGGACAGTGGCCACACCAGCAAGTCCCGTTGGTGAGATTTACAGCCAACTGCTGGCAACAAGTCGCTAGTCTGGGTCAGGTCTTGCCCTCAGTGGGCTCCCAGTGCAGAGCGCGGCTGCACCTCGCCCAAGTACCACGGCAGAGGGGTGGCTGGGATGGTCTCCGAGGTGGTCAGCCCCCAGGGGAAGAGACCCTAGCTGCCACAGGGTGTGGTGAAGAGCCGCTGCAGGCAGAACAAACAGCCTGAAACCAGCAGGGGAGCGAGAGCAGTCTGTGGGGGCCGTGAAAGCCGGCATGTGGGGGCACAAGGCTGGGGAATGGGGCACCGGGGTCCCGGGGAGCGCATCTGGGCATTCAGCCTCAGCATGAGGGACACATGGCAGGCCAAGGGCGTGGAAAACAAGTCTTGCCACACTGTTAAAGGACCATTCCTGTGTGATGTGGCAAACAGGCCGCAGGGAGGGCAAAAGCCAGGCAGAAGCTCAAATAATCAAGAGTCAAGAGGCGGTGGCGCCTGACAGGGCAATGGCGCAGGGTGGCCTTCAGGAGGTCATTGGGCGACCGAGGCAAAAGGACCAAGGAAATTCATGGGTGGGAGGGCGAAAAACAGGAAATAAACGTTCAAGTGGAGGGAAGAATTCCGGTTATGAACACAAGGAAGCCGGGGTGCTTGGGGAAGGCGTGCTGTCGCCTGGTCAGTGGGTCCCGGAAGAGAGCTGTGGCTGTAGGGCCGGATGGAGGTCATGAGCACCCTGGTGGCCACTACCCTAGTGGCCACCCCAGTGGATGTGGGTGCAGGAAGGGGGGGCGGGGGGAGACGCACGAAGAAGGGAACAGTGTGAGGAAGGGCGGAGGGAACAGAGGAAAGACGGAATTGGGCTGAGAGGGTCAGGAAAAGAGCAGAGTGTGAGAGCAGAACATGGAGACCTGTGCTGGCAGGCGCGCGTCTGCGAGACCGTGTCTAAGGAGTAGGCAGCTCTCGGACGCAGGAGCGCGTGCAGCCCCAGAGGACAAAGGGAAGGGAGGAACCAGCCGCGGCAACTTGCCCAGCAGCAGCAGAGGCGACAAGGCACCCAGGCGAGCCTGCCAATGTGCCGGCTGGCCTCGGAGTGGCTGCGCCGGGCTGGGAAGAGGAGGCGCGGTTTTCTGGGGAAAGCAGACATCGGTGAACATGCTTACTGTCATCAGGCCAAGAGTGAAAGTACCCTTGCATGTTAACGAGAACTGACGTCATGTCTGGAGAAGCATGGCTGTGAAGGCGGAGAGAGAGGGTGTCTGGAAGGTGAGGTGGAGCGCAGAGACGGCACACCCTGGCACTTGTCTGAGAAAAGCCAGCAGAAAGAGGGATGCCCACAGAGCCGGGGGACTGGAGTGGCCCCCGCTGGGCCGCACACCTGGGGGAGGCTGAGAGAGGCAGAGGGCGCCTGCTGGGGCTCCGAGGGCGGGGCCTCTGCCTGCTGTTTCTGCGTTCTGGAGCAGCTTGAGGGGAGGCAGAGGCGGAGGTCTGGGCCACGCTGGTCACAGGAGGCCAGGCTGACTGGGGATGCGGAGAGGGCGCAGGAGCTCTGAGAGCGCAGCCCAGGGAGAGGCGCTGCCTGCCTGCCTGCCTGCCTGCCTGCCGGCGACTGTCCTCAGGGACAAAACCCGCTGCCTCACCTGACACGTGGGTCGCTGCTAAGCCTATTTTATTGCAGTGAACATGATGACTGTAATTTGACCAGAGGGACTCTTTCTCTCATTTGCGAACAGCCTATGCCTCAGCTGTGTCATGGAAACAGCTAGTGGACAGCAGAGCGCACTGGGCAGGCGGCACTCACCTTGAGGTCTCTGTGCACAATCCGCTTCTGGTGGCAGTACTGGACCGCAGAGACGATCTGACGGGAGAGAGCGAGGCTAGTGGTCATGAGCTCGTAATTGCAGGGAGACACTCATTAGCGCTTACGAATGCGGTAGGCTCAGAGAGCACGCGACTGTGTGATCTCTAACAATAATTTTCTTATGCTTTGAACTTTTCAATTTGGAGAAATCCAGGGATGAGTACAAGAATCAAGTCACTTTAGGCTTAAAACTTTAACATGAGTCTCTAAAGAAGGGGAGTAGAGTCAAAGAAAAAGGTAAAGTCATTAGGGAACAAATCAAATTTTATTCAGTTTTGGTGTAAGACGAAGCTAATGTAACAAACCCCGGACTGTGACACTCCAGCCTAACCCCACTGCGTTCAGTTAATGCCATCACGGGTGTTGGGAAGACGGGATTTTAAGGTTCCAAAAGTGAAGTTAAGAGCGTGAGACCAGCCCCCACTGCAAAGCGGGCGCAGAGGCGACACTGCCCGCAGCACAGCGCCTCGGCGGGACGGGGCCTGACTCGGCCTCGCTGACGGGCAGGCTCGGCCCTGCCCCCGTGAAGGACACGTTTCCACGGTGACACACTTCATGGCTTCTGGGAGTAAGTGAACTGACTTTATTAAATCAATCAGCTAAAGGTGCATTAACTTGTACCTGTCTAAATTTAGCTCTTGCTTCTTTTTCCTTCATTCTTCCATGTGCAACCAAATAGTCAAACACTTCACCTAAAAGTGAAAGAAGTAAGAATAAGCCAAGTCCTACTTCTAATACTAATCTTCACATAAACCCGTGTTCACGTTTAGCAGTACTCCAGTTTTCACCCGTAAATAGGCATGAAGAGAAACAGAAAATATGTGGAGCTTGAACTAAGCTAGCCTTAAGCTTAAACATCAGTCACGTAAGTTCAACAGTAAAATCTTTAAGTTAGAGAAAAGCCTTGAAGTTAGATTCCCATGTTAATGTTTCACAACTTACCTCAAGGCTCTGCCTTCACTGTGCTTTAACGAAAACAAAGCTGAAGTGGACATGACTTGCGCCGTTATTCTTCACGACGGGGTTAGGGCACGCCCCCGCCCGCCCCAGGCCGAAGTCCTAAACACACTCAATGATTCAACAAACACTTGCCAGGCATCGCCAAGGTGCTCAGGTGCTGGACCTAGAGCAGCAGGAGGCGCCAGGCCCCACTACATGCTGCAGGGAGACAGACACGCCTCTGGGCGGTGCCACTGCGGAGAGCGCGGGGCACGGGAAGTGCGCACGGGGTCACGGGGCTCGCCTCCGAGAGGAGCGCGAGTGGTGTGGTCTTGGGGGGAGTCAAGGCAGAGAAGAGAGCAGGAGTCACAGGGCTGCAGGGGGCGAGGGGCAAGGCCACGAGAGGCCTGTGGCGCTACCTGACTTCCTAGAGGAGGGCAGAGGAGAGACAGGAGGTGGCTGCTCTCCAAGGCTGCCCGGGCTCCTGGAAGGTGAAGTGGACTGGGCTGGGGAAGGGATAGGAGGCCAGTCGGAGCAGCGTGGCACCCAGGCAGGCGTGGGGGTGGCAGGACGGTGAGGAGTAGGGCCCAGAACACGGAGTGGAGCTGAGGCCAAAGGACCGTGCGGGCAGACAGCTGACAGGCGGCTGACATGTCAACTAAACTGAGGTAAAGGGGGGAGACACTTGGAGAAATTTATTGGTATTGCCATATGTTTGTCAATTTGGAATACAGAGGACTCTGAAATCCACAAGAGTTGTAATTTTAAAGGAGCATTAATTTAAAAAATTAGATTAAGGGTCCTCCCAGGTGGCACAAGGAGTTAAAGCGCAGCACGAGTTTGGTGCTGCCCAGGAGCTGACCGGCCCGCTGAGCCCCTCAGCAGTGGACTTCATCAGTCGGCCTGTTCTGCTCCGCACTCTGTCCCTGGTGAATCCTCTCACTGCCCCTGCACCTCTGGCCTATACCCCAGTTCTGTATGCACAAATAATATTTTTTAAAAATTAGATTAAAAAGTGTTTTTGGGAAAGAAACATGTCTACTTCATACCAATAACAGCTACTTCCATCATCTCAGTGACAATATTCAGTTTCAGAATATAACTTAAAAATGCGGGGGTGGGGGGAAGAGCCATGGCGTGGCAGACCTCTCCTGACCCGCCCACTGCTCCCCTCAGCAGTGTACTTTGTCGATCTGCCTGTTCTGCTCCCGGCTCTGTTTCTGGTGAAGCCTCTCACCCACCACACCTCTGGCCTGTACGCAGTTCTGGATGAATAAATAAATAACTCTTAAAAAAAAAATGCGGGGGCATCATTCCAAATCATACATTTGTATATTTGTATCTTTCAAACCCTGCACCTCTGAGTGAAGTTCACACTCCTCCCCCCGCTGGCTGTGTGCCCTTTTAAGGAACACGACATGCTGTCCGTCTGCTCATGCAGGCGAGGAAGTGCGAGCACCTGACCAAGACCTGCGCGCGCCATGGAGCCGGGCCCAGTACACCAAGCCGCTGACTGCCTCAGGGCAACCAGATTAAGCTCAAGTCTGTCCACACAACTTTACATTATTTTTATCAATTGAAATGCAATATACACCCCTTAAGAGATTTCGGGAACCAAAGTCACACTCGCAGTTAGTCAGTTATAAGCCAGGATTTAACCCAGATTTCTTTTTCCTCATTAAAAATATTTTAGACCCAGATTTAAGCAGCTGCGTGGGAAACCTACCACAGCTACTTCTTAGAGGAAAGCCCCCTCCCTGCCACTGCCAGCGCCCAGCGGGAGCTGGTGCCGGAGGGTGGTTGCACAGGCAAACGCTGGTTCTAGCCCAGCTGCTACGCTGGCTGGCGAGGGGTGTGCTGACAGAACAGCTTTCCAGAGCTCCAGTTTCACGTGTAAAACTTGGGAGCGGTCTGGATGGTTTCTGAGACTCTCTCCAATTCAAAACGTCCACAACTCCATCCAGTCAAAATCCGCTGGGGAAGGAGCTGCTCACATGCAGACGGACCAGGGAGCGCGGCCGGGAAGAGGGTATGTTTGGCGGGGCTGGCTGACACCCCACCACTGGCAGCTCCCAGGCGGGTCAAGGCACACCCGGTGACTGTTCAGCCAACAACTGAGTCTTTCCCAAAGTCCATCCTCTGCTAAAACTGATGCTTTTCAGATGTTTCTGTCCTAATCTCTACACCTGCCACCTAGAAAACGCGGGACCAGAAAGCCTGGCTCCCAGCCTGACAGTGACGGAGCAAGACTTCCCAGCCTATGTGGGGCAGCCCACCGCTGCTGGGTCACAGGCGTGGAGTCGCTGTAAGGGCCCGAGGAGCCCAGGTGAGACGCGCCTCCCACACCGTGGAGGCCAAGTGTGGAAAAGGTTAAGATGCTGGCTGTCATGTGTGCAAAGTGCCAGACTCCACCAGGAAGCTTCATGCTGCAATTAACCTGCAGCTTTTCTGACTATTCCTGAACTATAAAACGCAACAAAATTCACAATTAAAAAATGCAGCAAGGTCCTCCCTGGTGGCGCAGCGGGTTAAAGCACAGCACTGAGAAGCCAAGGACACTTCCGCATGAGTTCGAGTCCCGCCTGTCCCGGAGGCAACCACATGGCGCGGCAGACCTCTCCTGACCCGCCTGCTGCTCCCCTCAGCAGTGTACTTCATGGATCTGCCTGTTCTGCTCCCCACCCTGTCCCTGGTGAAGCCTCTCACCGCCCCTGAGCCTCTGGCCTGTACCCCAGTTCTGTATGCACAAATAAATAAATAAATCTTTAAAAAAAAATGCAGCAAAAACACACAATAATATATATACATTATTATACTGTAAATTCCACAACTTATTAGAAGCAGGAAAAACTGGGGCCGCAGGTACATCTTCTAGGTCTTCTTTCCCACCAAAGGTGTGTGTCTTTCATGTAATGCTAATGCCCTAGAATGAGGGTGTGGTTCAATTTTCTATGTCCAGGTTTTACAACACAGGTCAAGGTGCTCATGGGAAAGAGCTCTTCCCACCAAACTGCCAGCTGCCCTACGGGCAGAGGCGAGCCCCAGCAGTGTAGCGCCAGGGAGCCCGTGAGCCTGCTCTGCTGAGCACCTCTGCGTGCCAGAGGGGTGGACACAGGAAGACCAGCAGCTCCACAGACGATGAACTCACGCTGGGTCTGGACACTGCAAGCGCAACTCGACTTCAACTACAAAGTGAGAATCTTTGTTAAAACAACCAAAACACAGCTATACACAGGCATGCCAGAAAAAGGTCTCCATCTGTACACCTTCTAGGCCAGTAACCATGTCTGACTTTAGGGCAGGTCGTTTCTGACCCCCATTCTGGTGTAGGCCGACTCAGATGTGAAGTGAGCCCTGCCGACGACCCCTGGGGGCAGCTGCCAGTCCTAGAGGGGGAGAGAAAAACCGGGCACAGAGAAGTCTTACCTCCACTCGCATACTCCATGATTAGGTAGAGCGTTTTGTCAGTTTCAATGACTTCAAATAACTTCACTGGGAGAAGGGAGGCACGGGAGAGAAAGAACAAGGTCTGTGCTTGCGCGCGCACGCTGCTGCGGCAGTCACTGTTCCGGTCAGAGGCTGTTAACAGCTGCCTCTAAAAAGCTTTTAGAAACCTTTAGCATAGATTACAACTGGAAAGATACTACAACCGGCTGCGGGTACCTCCGAGGCCCCGGGGCAGTCTCTGAAGTGGCTCTGACATGTGTCCTACGAGCTCGCTGGCCCCGGCTGCTCACCCTTTGCTCCTGGGCAAACACGGTCTGGGTCGCATACCAGCTGACGACCCCGAGGCTCTGCTCCTACCAGCCTCCATCCATTCTCTTGTCTCGCTGCTCTGAAATACCTACGCCTTCACTTGAGACTGCTGTTCTCTAGGAGATGCCACAACCCTCAGAGAGCCAGGTTCCTCTGTGACTACTCTGAAGCTTTAGGCGGAAAGTGGTAATACAGATGATACTAATAATTAAAAATAACTTTTTTGAAGAACTATTTTCAGTGGGTCAGCCAGTGTGAACTTGTTACAGAGAGAACCAACTCATAAAACCCAAATACATCAATTAGAAACAAATATATTTTTAAATGTCTATTTTTACAGTCGTTAACACATATTTTAAATTAAATTTACCAAAAAGGGGAAGGAGGAAGAATGCTAGTCTCTTATACTATGGGCCCTTTTTTTGGGGGGGTGCTTCAATATGGAGTATTAGGACAGAGTATCTAACACAGTAATTTACAAATGTTTGCTGAACTGCAAAATTACTATCACACCATTCCTTGTGCATATGTTAAGACTGTCAAGAAAAAGCACTCGAAGATCTTAAGGTCTATGTGCTGACACATAAATAAAATCTTTCTAAAATTCCAATGTATATATTGGTTTTCCTGGAATAATAATTTTAAGGCAACAAGAATTTAAAACTTATGAAATTTAAACCTTTCGCTAGATCTATTATTTAGTAGTAAGAAGGGAGAACTCAAATCAGGGCACAACTTAATTAAAAAAATATATATATATATGTTTCAGTTAGTTAGTTGTAGGCAATAGTGACGAAGTGTTTTTTGTGTTATTTTCTTTGGTGGGGGGAGGGAGGGTAGATGTGAAACATTAAAATCCAAATCTCACTAATCTCAAGGGCCGAAAGGGGAAGAAAGGTTTTCTTTCCACTATTAGATGCCTTATTTTCGTTCGCCAAATATTCCATTGATTCTAAGCTTTTCTACCCTTCACTCAGAGGCTAGCAGGATGGGCCTCGGTGGTCCAGAGAACAGCAGCAGGTTCAATTTGATAAAATGAGGTGCCAAAGTCTCTCCTGTGGTCCTGCTTCATCCTGTCCTTTGCTTCAAGAGCCCTTAGTAAGAGATCCCCGATACCCAGCATCACCCTCCCACCCCTGAAGCTGATGACAGTCTAGCAGGGATGACTGGCTAGCTTGCGAGCTCCTTCACTCTTGAAATAATCTTTCTGGGTTGTAGTATCCGGGCGTGAAACAAGCACGCACACTGTGTGGCAAGAGCTCCATTATGGTCTGACAGGGATATTCACGCACTAGGCACCGATGAATGGGCACGATGGTGAGCAGGGTCAGGCACGACCCTGCACCTCGAAGCCTGCACACGGCACTCAGGTGCCAGTGCACACAGAGGACCCGCGTGCTGGGTGAGCCCCACCAGGCAGCGAGTGCCCTTGGAAAATACTCAATGTCGTAGTGTTTTCTTAGGCACCGCCGCAGCAAACATCCTACTTTTGAAAACAACACTCTAATTGCCTGTGTCTAATAATTAAATATAATTTCTAACATATTAGAAAATTAAAATTACATACATCCCTAACACATTCAAGTCTTAAACTCGAATGTATTTTAAATTTGTCTCTTCACTTATCTTTAGTAACCCCAAAAGTTAACACAGTAATTTGTGTATATGCATGTATGTATTTTAGTTAAAAGCAGGACCAGGCTGGAGGAAGAAATCTCTCACTCCTGTACTGTGTTTGTTTTATAACATATTTTCAAGACTATATTTAGACCCAAATAAATTTAAGAAAGTGGAAAGTACCTATGTTTGGATGGTTTAAAATCTTCATTATTCTTACTTCTCTGAAGAGCTAAAAAACAAAACACAAAATCCCCCCACAAGGTTATTAAACATTCTATTTCACTGCTATAAAGGAAATTTAAATTTTCCTAAGATAACTGATTATTTATAACACTCAACAGTTCACATCTAAGACTAACACATAGAACTGGGGTGATGATGAGATACTTTTATCACCTCATTATCCAATGCTTCAATTTCATCTTATGAAAATGGCAAAGGTCCCAGAGAAAGATCATACACAAAAGGCATTTTATTTTTCTGTCTTGAACACCTAAGACCAGATTTAGTCAATAAACCTATGATTGAGCTTAATGTGATTCAGCATCTAACCAGTATTAACATAGCAACATTTACTTTGTCTCAATGAACGACTTCGTCTGTGTGCGAGGGTTCTGCGCAGGCCACGCAGGGCGTGCTCACGAGGTTGGTAACTGCCAGCACGCCGTGGCAGATGGTCACTCTGAAGCAAGCAGATGCCAGCTCAAATGCACTTGGAACCACACTGCCAGGATAAGCAGCAGCCAGTCTGGCCTCTGCAAACCAAAGACCGGTGGGAGAGCGGACCTGCCGCCCACCGGCAGCCTGCAGCGGCTGGCCAGCACCACACCGGCGCGCCAAGGCAAGCCGGGAGAAAGGCCACTCAGTGGAGACAGGCCGAGCAGCCCCACCCAGCCATGGCACCGAGTAAGGAGAAACAGGAAGCTACTACACATCAACGTGCATTCTCAATGGAGGGCAGGCCACTGCATGGTCAGGTTAATGTCCGATCTCAGAAAAAACTGGGTATTAGAGACCATTTATCCAACGGACTTATAAATAAAAGCAACCCAGAAAGGGGGGAAAGGCCTTCCAAGGCTCTATTGCTATCCGACTGTCTGGACATGAGGGAATGAGGCTGGACCAGGTGCGTCCACCATTGGGATGCAGGGCCACTCTGAGCAAGGACGTGCCATGTGAGGGCAGTTCGGGAAGGTGCGTGGCGGCAACACTGGGTATGGGGCACCCACACCATGGTGCAGACCGACACCTGGGCTGATGTGCTGTCAGGTGCAAGAGCAACTCTTCTGCCTGCCTGGGGGCGGCCTGTTTTCAGACTGACAAAGGGCACAGCGAAGTGTGGTGGCCAAGCGGCCTTGCCTGGAGCATAACTCCAGCCCGTCACCCACAGCACCAGAACCCTGCCCCCAAACAGGCCTTCATGGAGCCCCCAAACAACGCCCAGCACAGCAGTCTGTCATCACGTCGCCAGACTGTGCCACGGGGCTCGGCACAAGGTGACTGAGGCCCGCTGCAGGCGAGCATCCCCTTCCCAGCTGCCAGAAACCCATGCCTCGGAGAGCGGAGCCTCGCGAAGCCTAATGCGCACGACTGCATGGCTGAAAGTGGCCCAGCTCAGCCCTGGACAAACGGCACTCGAGTGCCTCAGACGGCTGCTCCTTAGCCACGGCCCAGTAAGCCCACTGCAGGCCCGCTCCTGCGCCCAGAAGAACTCCGGCTGGGCATATATCCTGCAGCTTATCAAGATAAGCTCCCCACCGGGTGCCAGCTGGGGCTCAGGGATACCGGGAAGGGCAGAAGTCCAAACACAGGCACCTGAAACCTCTCGCAAACCCACACGGAGGGCCAGAAATGTGTGTAAGTAGCTCCCCGAGCTCTGGAGCATCTTTTCACGAAGAAAAAAGGATGACAGGCCTGATTCTCCTCGACTGTGAGGGGAACCTCTGTCCCTTTGTCTCAACCACACCGACCTCAGCAACTCTGGGGGAGAACAAAGACCCTCTCCAACGAAACCAATGGACCATGCTCACAAAAGCCCCAAGTTCATGGAGAAGGAACTGTCCCAAAAACTGGTGGAGTTAAGTATGTCTTCCCACCAGCAGAGTACCTCTGGGAGGACAGACAGAAGCACAGCTGCTGGCTTCCCGGGAGAGGACGAGGCACTGGTCCAAGCTGCTGAGGAGCACTCCGTCTGAACTCGCCACAGGATGGCCCGAGCAGCTCAGAGAGCGCCCCCTGTTCCTGCCTGTTAAGTGCCCACGGTCCTCACCCACCACCACTTCTGTTGTCAGCTGTGGCTGAGTCTAACACCCGGACACTGAAGTATCCGCCTGTGGCCTCTGCAAAAGGGGGAGAAAGGGACTCCTGAAGAAGGAAAGGGAGCGCGAACTTGCTGGGCCTGCTCCTCCTGTGAGCAGCTTCCACCACCCTCCTCATGCACAGGATGCACGCAGTGAGGCTTCCAGGGAGCATCTCTAAGGTCAAGGCGATCCAAGAACTGAGACAGAAAGGTAAGCTTAGGTAAAGTGCTTCTCACCTCCCAGAGCTGCCCTAAAACTCACTACAGAGCAGAGCCAAGAAGTCAGTAAATAGCAGAAATAAAGACAATCATCAGATTCCCAAAGACATGGCAGCCAGCCCCACCCACAGCTGTAGCCAGCTGGCGCCGGGACAAGGATGCCTCCCTGGTGCGCTGCCTCTGGCCCGCCCTTTGCCAGGGGAATGCGAGATGAACCTCGACGCAAGCCTGCCAAGTGCCCCGCAGGGGCGCTCACACGCGCTGCCACAGCTCTGCCGCTACTTTATAGACACAGTGGCTGCCACCACCGTCCACCATGCAAGAGTCCTTATTTCTCCACTTTCCTGTCAATTATCAGTATCCATTCTGCAGATCTGGCTGGTAAAAAATGGTTATCTTTTAGGATTTTGAACATTTTCACTTGATTATTAGCCATCTGTCCTATTAACTGTTGAATTGCATTGCTTGGTTACTTTCTATCTGGAGGTTTTAGTAGGTTATCTGCTCTTTTATTATCTGATGATCATCTGTACTGCAAGGAAACAGGACCCTTGCTCCCACAGCCAGGCAGGTGGCCACCAAAGCCGCTCCCACCTCCACTCTGCTGACTCTAGTCCAAAGAGCCCTCCTTTCATTTCCTAAAGAACTTACTATTTACCCACAATTTCGAAAATGTCAAAATTAACAGCTTTGTCCATTTGAGACACTGCCGCCCTGAAGCTTCCTATTTTGGAATTAGCATTCCTAAGCCCTACCCCTTTGACCTCTTCATGCAATTCTATCACTCTTTGGGCTGAGCATTATTTTAAATGCCTGTGGATTAAAAGGGAACCCACTGACTTCTGCCTTCCATCCTGGTTCCGAAGGCCAGGCCTCTTGACTCTGGTAGCTGCTGGTGTGGATATTTAGGTCCCATCCTATCCCCCCCGTACTATCAACTGACTTAAAATGCATCTTTAGAAGTAAAAGTGATATGAGTATGCTCAGAAAACAACTATCTCTTGGCAGGTTCTTATCTAGGACGTTATGTAATCACGAACACGAGCATGTTGTGAAAGCAAACAAATGCACCAAGATGGGCCACAGTTTGGGCAAAAGGCAGCACAGAGGAAGAGACACGATTCCACGTCTATAATATGTAAGACCTCTGACCTATACAAATGATAAAACCAAGAAAATAACACCAAGTTCTTGGGTGGGAGGGCTGGCGCGTGTGGGACCCCAAGCCACGGTGCTCATTCCCTACACCTGTGCCAGCGAGCGCCCGGCATTCCCTCACCTGCAGAGCATTAGGGCAAAGTTAACACTTCATTTGAAAGAACTCCTTAGATTCAGCTGGTGAGTAAACTCACGCCATTTTAAAAATTGAAAACAAGAGACACTAATACGGATCTCTATGAGCAACTATTTCTCAGACAAACTCTCCCCACCCCCAAGCCTCAGGTCTTGGGGGTCCGGCCATGGGGGCGGTGGGAGAAGAGCTCACTTGGGGGGGGCGTTGTGGGCGTCCCCAGGTGCCCCGCAACCTTCCCATAAGGAAGGGGCGAGGCCAGCCCCTCCGAGGGGCCATGCTGAAAAGGCTGCTGGGGCCGATCCCACGTGCTCAGCTGTATGCCAGCTATGAGGAGCTGCCCTGAGGGGCTGTGGGAGAGAGACAGTGAGGGCAGCGGCGGGGAGCTGAGGGCGCTGCCCTGGCTGGGCCTCTGATGCCCACCCTCGGGGCCAGGCATGTCAGGGCCTGAAACCGCAGCTGGCACACTACAGGTGGCTGCTTCTGGTGCCTGCTGTTAGGAGTCTCTAGCCCGTGCTGGGCACTGCACTTTCTGCATGTGGGCTCATGCTAACCTCTAAGTTGAATCCACTTAACATATTTGGTTTTTTAGGTCAAGTATTTGACTGCTCTATAGCTAATGAATTACTGATACAATTAAAACAAATTCTAATATTCTCAATTCACAATCTACTCTGAATATCTATCCGAAGTATTTCTGCCAAAGCAAAAATAAACCTGGCAATCAAGGTAGAAATAAAGTTGTGCCATAAAGCAAAAGCAATACTGAATCTATTTTCTCCCCTTTCTATTTACCTCTTTGGAATCTAAAAGTGAAGAAATACACATATTTTTAGTCTCAGTATTTTAAATATATGCAGTCAAGAAGGGTTTGCTTTGGGACCCCTTGGTGATGGCAGCCACTGCAGCACTAGTGTGACCCCCGGCCAGGGGTGACCCGCAGGGCACAGCAGACCTCTCCTGTCCCCCACTGCTCCCCTCAGCAGTGGGTTTCACTAGATCCACCTGTTCCGCTCCCCACTCTGTCTCTGGTGAATCTTCTCACCCCCACCCCATACCTTGGCTGGCACCCCAGTTCTTGTGTGTATGAATAAATTTTTCAAAATCTTTTATAAAATTGTTTGCCTTAAAGTCATTTACCATGCCCTAAGTTAGTTTCCCAGATGCATTACCTGATCTGAATGTAAAC